TTTCAAGAGAAACTATTGAGAGCTATGGGTGCTCAATCCAGCTCCAACAGATGCAACCAAACTACGTATCAGATGCAACCAAACAGTCCACATCTGTATGCGCATGAAGTTCAAGATTCCCTCATCGTTTGATTGCTCTATGTAGTCTTCTGTCTGTATACATTTTAACTTCATTTTTCAAACATGACAAAAAAGGGAAATCAAGCCTTACCAATCTGCTGAGGGTAACGAGTACATGGACAAGGGGGATCCAATATATTTGGATTTTTGAAACAAAGGGACTTGGTGGCAGCCTATATCAGGGGAGTACATCAAGGCCTGGGGGAGCATCTATTCACCAAGGCCCCCCAGGGGAGGACACAAACTGATTGAAGATTGCTTCAGGCTCGACATAAAGAAAAACTTCCTTACAAGTCAAGTATTGAGGGTTTGGAACAGGCCCCCCCCGGTGGTGGTAGTCACCCACCCAGGCAATCTTCAGAAAGTGTCTTGATGCCCATCTTGCTGGGGTCATCTGACCCCAGCAGTCTTTCCTGCCCAAGTGCAGGGGGGCTGGACCCAATGATCTGTAAGGCCCCTTCCAGCCCCTAACAACTATGAAACTATAAGGCTCCTCACCAAAGGATTTAAAAAAAAATGTTATTACAGGATTGGAGGGGAAGTTCTTTTGTGGACCGAGAGTTGGTTGAAAAACAGGAAGAAAAGGATAGGGCTAAATGGTCACCTTTCAGGATGGAGGAAGGTCAAAATTGGTGTCTTGCAGGAAGCTGTGCTGGATCAGGTTTTGTTCAGCATTTTCAATGACCTAGAAATAAGGCTGAACAGTAAAATCTCCAAACTTGCACATGATACTAACTTATTCCAGGTAGTCAAATCCCAAGATGACAGAGAGGAGCTGCAGAAAAATCTCACCAAACTGAGGGGGGAAAAAAAGGCAGATAAACTTCAGTGTCATTAAGTGCAAGGTAACGCACGTGGGGAAAATAACTCCAATTATACATACACAATAGTTCTCAAAGAATTTCAGCTCAATGTGCAGTGGCAACCAAAAAAGCCATTGAGAACAGAAAACAAAACAGAACATCATCATTCCATCATACAAATACATGCTTCATCCGTATCTTGAATCCTGTGTGCAGTTCTGGTCTTCACATCTCAAAAAGGATATGATAGACTTAGAAAAGATATGGAGAAGGGCAACCAAAATGGTCAGGGATATGGACCAGTTTCCATACCAGGAGAGACTAAACAGGCTAGGACTCTTCAGTTTGGAAAGGAGAAGGCTGAGGTGGGTATATGACAGAAGTCTATAAAATCATGAAGGGAGTGAATAGGAACCATTTTTCACCACAATACTAGAACTAGGGGACCTCCACTGAAAGTAGTAGGGGACAGGTTTACACAACATGAAGTTAACCTGTGGAACTCATTGACACAGGTATTAAGAGATAGATAGCTTAAAGTTCAAAAAAGGACCAGACATGTTCATGGACAGCAGATCCATTAATAGCTGTTGGGTAGAACAGTTAGGGATGCTTCCTCTGGCACCTAAACCAATAGCAGATGCGAGGGAGAATAATGAATAGGGGATAGAACATTTTAGATATACCCAGTTCAATGCTCTCCCTCTAAAGCGCCGTTCTTGCCACTGTCAGAGATAAAACGCTAAGCTAGATGGATTATTGGCCTGACCTGCTATCCCAGTATGGCATTTCTGTTCTAGATTTTAGAAAAGATAGATATATCTCTATATATAATGAAGCACAAATATAGATCCAAGGGGTTCTTCTACAGTGCAGCTGGTATGCCCATTTTGATTCACATTTAGTCAAGATGGATATTCAATTTATTAAAAAAAAATCTAAAACGTAATTGCCATTAAAGTTTTGGGGGAAAAAGCAATATAAAGCCGTTCCAGATCATATAGAAACTTTTAGGGATCTTCTTCCTTTACTCACTAATGGATATTTGTATGGAAACTGTGAGCCATGAGTGGTGAAATACTCTATATAACTATATGCTGTAAAAATATTTCTAAACTGTTCTCCTAAAAACACAGACCAGTCCCAGCACAGATATTAACTGAATTTGATAAACACATGTTGAAGAGTGTATTCTTTAATTACAACATTTTTGTATCACAAGTTTACATGAACTGCCAAACTCTGCAAAATGAGATATAATATAGCAAACTGTCTGGGCAAATTTTGATTTGAGTATAAACATATGTATGTCAAATAAAATGAACAATTGCAACACTGAACAAAAATTATTTTATTTTTTTGCTTATAGTTAAGAACATCCAGTTGAAAATAAAAGAATTAAAAATATAATCTGTTACAACACATGAATCTTGAAGCTCATGCTTGAATCTCATGCTATAATACAATGTGAAATTCTTGCCTGGTGACATTCTAGGATTTCATGTGCATGTATGCAGACAAAACTCTTTACAAATATTTATACCAAATGGTGGAATGTAGGAAAAAAGGCTGAAACTCCATTATTCCATAAGAACCTTGTATAAAATAGAAAATTTAAACATCTTTATTTTATTTATACACATTATTTGGTGAATGCAAGAATGTAATTTCTGTCTGAATTACAGTATTTACCCAAATCCAAGATTACTTTGAATTTTAGACAACGCCCCAATAATGAAATTCTATACATGGAAGATTTATATATGTTATAATTTTCCATATTATATAGAATCTAATTATTGGAAGGATATCTTCAATTTGTCCCTGCAAAGCAGCAGCAAGGGGCAATGGGCCAGACCCCCAAATCTTGCCCCCCCCCCTTACCTCCCTGACCCGCCCTCTTATCCCTAGCCTGCCCATTGCCTGTGCTTATCCTCTGGTGCCTACCCTATCCGCTGCTTGCCACCTTTGCCCCTTCCCTCACCACTGCCTGCCCCCTTTGCCACTTGCCCCCCACATCTGCTCCCCTGCCATGCGGCTCCCTTACCACTTGTCCCTTGCCCTCTGTGTGCTTGTGCCCCCCCATTACTTCATCCCCTCCAGTGCCTGCCTCTACTTGCCCCCCCCAACACCTGTGCCTGCTCCCCTGCTGCCTGTCACCCCACCCCCGGCACTTCTGCCCAAGCCCTACCCCTTAGATCTCTCACCCACTACTCCTGCTGTGCGCTGCCTCCCCCACCCAGCCTAGGGCAGGTGGCAGCAGTGCTCCAGCTTTGTCTGTAGGTCTGGGGCCAAAGCCAGAGTTGAACTGTCATCTAGCCCAGGCTGGTACTCAGATCTAAGACAAGAGGTCCCCCCCCAGGCAGCGATTGAGGAGAAAAGCCTCATCTTAGCTTTGAGTGAATACAGTACTTTCAATACAATTTTAAGAAAGTGGTACTTTTCTTTTTCATTCAGCATAATTCTCAACAGTGATTAAATACCATATAAAACAGGGGTGTTCAACCCCTGGCCCATGGGCCAAATCTGGTACACAGAGCTTAGTTATCAGGCTTGCAGGGTTCCCCAAGGGTCTGGAAATTTGACAGCAGAAAAGCAATGGCAACTTTAACTGCTTCCACATTTCCAGACCCATGAACCCACCCCACACAGGGTCCATCCCACAGACTGACCCCACACCACTCATTTGGCCTGCAGGCCTGGAAAATGCTGGCCTGCATGGCTGGGCACCACTGATATACACAATATACCTAACATATCTGGAGTACAGTATTTTCTTTCATGTATAAGCAATAACTTGAGTTGGCATCTCATAACTCAAAGAAAAAAATATACTATATTTTCCCAATCATTGTTCTGCCTCTTACTAGCTATAAAGTGTATTGTTCATTTAATATACATGCACACAAAAATATGCAAAAATAAATCAAAATACAAAACCCTTAATGTCAAATGCTTTATGGTAGTATACTAAAACAATCCTGAAAAAAAACAGATGAACTGCTATATTAAATGTGTGTTGTAGCTATTTAACAAGATACTTGACAATTTGTGAACTACAAAAGGTATGATTTTGCAGTAGTTCTGCAAAAACCTGAGGAATATTTAACTAGCAATAAGCAAGGCATTTTCAAAAAGCAATTTGTAAAAAATACTTTTTTTTTTTTTTACTAGATGCTTTCATATAAAAAGGCAATAAGAAATATAATAAAACCTACCCTTTTAGGACTACACCTTTCCTAGTAAGTAGTTCTTTATCACTTGCACTATTACATACAGTACATTCAGTTTCCTACACAGAAAATGTACATTCTTGTCCCTGATGTTTATTTGATTGGCAGTGACAGCAAATTGTTTTACTATCAGCACTCATTCTGTAGCTTATATAAACAGCACCAAGTTTATACAAAAAAAGTATACTGGTATATAGTACCACTTGCACAATATGTGGAAGTTAAAAAGAGCCAAAAAAGAATGAACATGAGAACTAAAATGTATTTTTCCAGATACTATACCAGAATAAATGGCTCAGAGCTAATCAATGAGTGAAAGGGAGTGTTGCATAGTACAAGGAACCCTCCTGTGTGAATCCATCCATTCACTGATTGTTTCTTACCCCACAGGAATGAAAAGCGAAAGACAGTTGTTAATGAATATGAAAATAGTACATAACAAAATTAACCAGTAAAAAACTGAACTATACAGTTTCTTGTTACCTCTGCTGCAGTGCAAAGCACCTTTCGAATACTTTTAAAAAACTGAATACATATGTACAGTATATATATGTTTGTACCACACGCACACACACACAAGCATCAATATATCCACGCCAAGCTCAGGAAAAATGGAATGTTTAAAATGTAGGTGTTCTGTTCCAGAGAAACATCTGTTCAACCCAGAACAATCAGCTGTTCAGAACGGCTGAGAAAATGCCCTTTCCATGAAACAGACATGTTGCCTATATAAAAACTGACAACATACTGTACTTTTTGTCCTCCTAATTTACCAGAGAACTGATAACCACACTTTATAAAAGCTTATATTTGTATTAAAAGCACACACAAATGAAACCATTCATATGTCTATTCCCTTTATGGAAATCTGTATAGCATAATCTAAATGAATATTACTCTCCTGGAGAACCAGTCACAGCGTATTCACTAAAAGAGATGAAGTTTAATGCTGCTTCTTTAAAATTTTTCATAATGTAAAATTTTACAGCCATCCCTGTAAAAATTATCAACACCTGATGCTGTTTTTCCTTTGGGATTCAGCTGTTTTGGTTTTGAATGTGAATGTATCAGTTGAAGTTTGTAAAAGAGAATGCATTTCTCAGTTTTCTGTGTATAGTATCCATGAAAGTATCACATAAAAAAAAAAACGCAAACCCGAAGAACACAGTCCTAACTGCCTGTTCCTGTGTACCTTTCCAAATCACTTCCTAAAATGTAATATAGTCCTTTTTTCTTGATAGTAAATATTTTATCACATTTTGAGAGGAAACTTCTGCAAACGGCAAATGTTTGCAGCAACAAAATATTTTTTAAATAAAGACCATGTCTGTGAACCTGAGATGTAAGTCTGGTATGAACACACAGATTATTGTGTTTCCACTGGCTAGTACTTTCCTTGTTTAAGTCTGTCAATGTGGTAGCATAGCTTTAATGCTGGCCCCAACTTCAGTCCCATGTATTTCATTATCATATCACTCCTCAGTAACAGCAGTGCTTTCCCATCAATTTCCTGTAAAAGGAAGAGAATAAATACAATAATGCATAGATGCTTTAACAAGATGCACAACAAAACGGAAATGTACAGTGTATTTATTTGTACTGCAATAAAACTTTAAATTAGAGTATATAAATCAGTAATTAACTATAGTTTAATACATCAGTAAACTATTAAACTAATATTTTGTTTAGTTTTTTAGTGTTTTCTAATGCACCCTTTTCTATGTATTTGAGATGCTGCACATATTTACATCTGAAATTGAGCAAATGGCCCAGAAAGCCAGCTCCTCTAATCAAAACAAAAGGAACTGGGACAAGAGGAAAATCTAAAGTTGAAGGCCAATCTGGTTAAAGATACAATGACCCACACACTGAGGCCTTGCACTGAACCTTGAAAACAGCTGTCCAGGGACACAGACAACACACAGAGAGAAAGAGAATAGCACATCACCCGGGCCTGTGAAATAAGACAGATCTATGTCTGGTTGAAACCAGATGGAACGTTGGGATCAAGAACAAGGACAACCAGACAGATTTCAATTGCCTTGAAGAGAAACTGCTGAAATGTAACAGATGTAGACTATTAAGAGCTTTACATAATACTGATAATTCAGCAAGTGTTTCCTTACAACTACATATTGAAATCTGTGCTCATTTTTAAATACAGTAGGCTGATAAAAAACACATGAAATATAATACAAAACTGTAAAGAAAAATAAAAGGGAAATTTGATAAAGGAAACAATGCTTTGAAATTCCCTCTAACCTAGCTTACTCTTAGGTCCAATCACATGTTTTTAATTGTTAATTTAGCCATTGTGATTAACAACCAGTGAAAAGGAAGTGCAAACTACCATCAAATAATATTTGGCATGATATTACAGCCAGAGTAACCTGATGTTAAGGAATAAATACAACTCAAAATGGCACAGAATTTGGTCTATTGGGTCTTGGAAGTTGGTGCTCAGCCTTCAGGGGCTGAAGCCCACCAGCAGGTGGCTAGCAGCTACTAGTCTGCCTGGAAGCTTGGGAACCAGATTCAACTGATGACTAGGGATCTTCATTTTCTCTGATAAAAAAAAAAAAAAAGTGTACCTCAAAATCCACATTTTTCCATGACTAGCATGAAATGCCTCTTTATAGTTTTATTTTTATATATAAATAAAAATAAAAAGAGAGAGAGAGGCATTTCATTCTAATCACAGAAAAATGTGGATTTTGGGGTACTTTTTAAATCTGAAAATTGAGGATTTTTTCTTTAATCAGAGAAAACAAGGATCCCTGCTGGTGACTCAGGAATAATGGCAGAGCCATAAAGAGAGCTAAAAGACCCAGAGGCAGAGCGCAAGAGGGGAGAGGAAGCTCAGGAAGATGCACAGAGCCTGGGTTGCTCCTCTCAAGGTCTGAGGTAAGATGGCAATTGTTTGCTTGCTCATTTCGTCTGCCGTGTGCACAAGGTTGCCCCATATGAAATAAACTGGCTGGATACCCTGAATATAGAGCTGACTGGCACTGATAAGGAAGCTGGATGAGTGACTCGCTAATAGATCTACCAAAAAAAAGAGCCAGCCACTCCCAGTTGGAGACCGACTTTTTGAGGTAATGGAGCAGCTCTCTACTAAGCAGCCTAGCATGAACTAGCACAGCAAACAAAGAACAGAGTAAACCGAGCACAGTTACAGCTGCTGAACTGTCTTTTCCTGAATATATCATCCTGCTAGTTTTGGTGGAACTTTGCAGTTTTGCCTGTAATCATGGAAATGCTTTTTCATTTTTGTTTTAGATTTTTCTTCTAAGTAAATTGGATTTAACTATAACTAAGATGTGTACCTGACTGTTAATATAAAGGGATACAATGACCATTTTGCAAACTATCAGAACTGACCAGAAACGCTCTCAGGTGGGAGCTAGGGTCCACAAGTTTCCAAAGTCACAAGTGGCTACATCTCAGTGAGCTTAGTGAGCAACAGTTTCTACCTTAAAAACTACTATGGGTGGTGCTCCTTGCTTGCTGTGAGAACATGGAGTGCTAGGGAACAGATACTGACCATACAACCAAGTAAGTAACAGCTATTTAGGTCAGTTGAACAAGGTCACTGCATGGAGAGAACAAATTGAGATAGCAGTTCCCAGGCTTCATGCAGCTAGAAGGTGCTTTCTAGAAAAATACAAATCATCCACCGTCTCTCTCAAAATTTGTTCATAGGACCTTGTTCCCATTTTGTAAATACAGTAATAGAAGGGAAAGTCGGTACTAATCCCTACTCAGAGTACTAATGTATTCAAGTATAGTAAACAGGCAGAAACAGAAAGGCATCATACATGTCTCCTGAAGAGTTCTGCATGTGGGGCTAATGCCTGAGGATCAGCTTCTTTCACAAACCGCATTACTTCATCTATTGACCAGGTAGAAGGATCCTTATTCAGTACTCGGGAGGGTTCCTGCTTTAGTGCATGGAGATCAGGTCCAGTTGTGGAACTTGCAGCTTAAAGGAAATTATTGAAAAAAGGAAGAAATGCTGAAACTCACTACAGGAAGAATACTTTTAATGAGAAATCAGATGTTCTTGGTGACCTGTCTTAGTAGCAGCTTCTGTTTTCCCAGTGGATCATCCTGGCCCATAGCACTCATTTGTTAAAATGAAAAACAGCTGATTTCCCTTTGAAAGTCTCTCCAAAAGGTTCTACAGAAAACTTACAGATCTGCGGGTACACAGTATGGTATTAGTACCACATGCTATCGTGAGATACCAGTTTGAGATTCCCAAGACACCAGTGCCTAGAAATACCGAGGAAGTAAAGCATGCTCTCTAGGGGAAGTAAACCTTTAGTGCCTGAGGAGCTCCAAAAAGAAACTGTAACCAGCATTCTCCACCTCAGACTTTGACAGCTGAGAGAAGACCAGAGAGCAGGCAACATTTTTCTGGCTTGTGCAGCTGCATTAAATTTAACATGCTTAAATTCCATTTGGCAACAACATGATGCAAAAGCCAGGGTAGCGTGGCATTTTATAAACTGGTTCAGAGAGGCATGAGCTTCTGTGGGCTACTGCCTACTTTGTCAGATGCTATGAATGGACCCCTCTCGCATGCAAAGTTTTGGACGTCAGAGCACTTTATTATATCATCCATAACCCAATGACTTTGCATTCTGCTAAAAAAACAGTTAGCAACTATTTTTGAAAGATTAAGCGTATATCATACCTTCAATCCTCCTATGTATTCGATTCCTGCTGACTTCATAGTAACTGGTGTTCCCAGCAGAACTTGATGACAGCCTGCGTAGGATTGGGGCTGACTTTGAGGTAGCAGTCACCGGCTGAAGGGAAGTCCTGTAATATGCTATGCTTCCTGAGCTACGATACTCAGTAGAATTTCGACGGGTTGGACTTGAAGGACTTACTGAATTGAGTACAGAATCCAGAGGGTCCTCAGAAAATCTGTGTTCTTTGAGGATGCAGTTTTCTTCATTAGGTAGTGTTTCTGCTACACATTATGAGTAATACAAACACAGATTGGTTTAGTTTGCTGGACACTGTAAACCTGTTACTTAATTGTGTGCAATTTAATTCTTTAAAACAAGTTTTAAGGCTGTCACAAAGTTTTCTATCAAGCAAGTACTAACACAACTAACATTTTCTTTTTCTTCAGTAGTCAGTAAAAAGTTCCTAAAATACATGTCAAGTTATATTAGTAACAACAAAAATGGCTGCCATACAGTTCAATGGATCAAATAAAAATATTTATTCTATGTTCTTTTAAAAAAAAGAAGAGCAGGAGTAGAGAGCAAAGTTCTTACCTATAAGAATTTTCTGAAGATAATAATGATAAATATGCTATCCCAGTCATAGATATCATGATCTGGGAACCACATCCTTAGTTTAAACATTTTCTCAGAAGTAAGTATAACCATTAAGTCTGTGTTATGTTTGTTCTGTATGAAATTACTAAGATAAATAAAAGATCCCTCACTGAATAGTAAGGAATACAGAGGACTTAACTTCTAAATAGAAACAAATGAGCAATTATATATTTATAAATCATACTATCCTCAGAAACTGCAGCCATCATTAAAGTCAGTAGAATATATGTAATTGCCACAATTCCCACATAGAGGAAACAGTGATTTCTAAAATAATAAATATTGATCAGTGTTTTCAAACATGGGTAACCCTCTTCCCCAAATACATAGTTCTGGTAGACATAGACTTCTGAATGTCATAAACTAGAATTATATCTACAGTAAAATATCCAAACCTATGGTTGAAAAGTACTCGTTTCAATAATTAGACCTATAACTTGTCAATAGTACTTCTTAATCTGATGAATGGAGAGGCTGTAAGACAAAAATGGCCTTTTGTCTCAAAGGTCTGAATGTTGGGTTTGTTCATTAAAAAAAATTACAACTACTGAAAATTGTTAATTTAATACATTCTGACTCAAGTATAGATTGTGATGCTATTTGAGGGAAAAAATTAGTAGGTAAAAAGCCAAACAAACCCAGCACTAAAAAAGAAGTCAGAAGGGGAAGGATTATGAATAAAATTAGGAAAACTTTCCATTCCAAAGAAAATAAGGTGAAATAGCACCACAGATGATCCTCCAGCCAAAGCAGCATCTATAAGACCTAGAAAGTCTGTTTCATACTCACTCATGTAAATTCTAAATCAATACTGCCACCCTGAAAATCTTTGTGGCAGACAGGAAAACCATTTATACCCATGATGTAATCATTACTCTTTTGGAGAAGGAGGGGTGCCTGGCCTCTGATAGATGTCAAAATGTCCATGCAATTGCAATCTGCGGAATTTTATGCCCATTTTTTTTCTTTTCATTAATGTTTGAACCTATCCTAAATTAACACATGCTAGGTAGGTAGCAAGACTGACACAGCCACCCCTCGAGAGTCATCACCTTTTAGTCAAGAACCTCCAGTCAGGAACTAGGCTGGGTATCGGATAGTTTTTCTTTTAGTGACTCTAGAATGTCCAAAGGCCACTCCTGATCTGTCTAACAAATAGTCACTGGGTCAGAGGGCTGACTCAGAACTGGAGTCTGACAATTACATCTTTCTTCACTAGTTTGGTATTAGGTCCAACTTTCCCTGTATGGATTTTCTGAACAGTCTGAGGTAATAGCAGCTATGGAGAGAAGGGTGAGATAAAAAGTTTTCTTATATATTGTTGAAAGCTCCATTTCAGGATCTCTGATGTTTTAGTCAGAGTAAAAAACAGACCTGGATTATATAAAAGCCTAACGATGTTTGTATGAATTCCACGGGCGGGGAGATTGTTTTTAAAAGCTCTTCTCGGACTTAGAAGTGGTAGTCAAAGGTTCTATTTAATACAAGACTGGAGAGAGATACATGCCTGCAGCGGCAGGGCACGTCAGTTGCAGTTTTGTTTCTTTATCCTTCATGACTTAAAAGAGAAAATTGCCCAAAGCACAATGGGCAGCAAAAGCCTGCAAAGTATATCCCTGAGCAGATCCAAAGGAAGACTTCCCGCAAACATTCCATTTTGTCTTAAAAAGATATTCCAAAACAACAATTCATGAGAACAGTTTCAACAGAGCCAGAACTTTTTTTTAAACTGATTTTTCTTGTTAACTATCCCGTGACTGACTATTATAAAATTACCTCTGGATTTTCAGTGGAGGACAGTGGCTAATGGGGTTGACTGGGAAATATAAAAGGCCTCTTCAAATGCATAACACACCTTATTCAAATTTCTTAGCAAAAAGTCTAAACTTTCAGATAGGGTAAAACATTTATTTTCCATATAGATTTTAGTTTAAAACCGGGAAGCCACACTACTGTATAAGAATAAGTTAATGTATCTTACTTTTATTATGTAGTTATTTAATCAGTACACTGAACAGAAACTGCAAGTGACACTTACGGAAAAGCTTGTTTCGAGAGTGGAATATCTCTTCCTGGATACTGCAGTTCCAGTATGATAACCATACTGGACACTATAATTAACCAGTCTATGTTTACATCGTTAGTTTTATTTTGCTCCCATTTGGGTGCCTATATTTTCTTACACTCAAGTGAGCTATCCCTATTCATGGGCACACCCATCAGATGCCTAACTCAATTCTACCGGGTGCATTTTATGAATAAATCAATGCCTTCTTTCCAAAGCAGTTTCTAAATTTACTATGAATTTGTGTGTCCCCTGCTTCTAGTGTTATTAGACTAGATGAATAAGAATCCTTACTCCGTGTTAAACAAATCCACTGTAATTTGAAGTGTTTTAATCATGTCCTCTTCTCTCTAAATATAGCCCTGTGACTCAGTCTGCAGGAGATCACAACTCTCACCAACGACAATCGGATTTGCCAAAATCTTAGAACCTCTGAAAAGTCTGGCTACAAATATCTAATCTAATATTGCACCTAGGCCTTTGCAAATGTCTTGAAATATTAATTGTTTTTGAAACTCTTGCAAGTTAGGCAGCCTACAACCACTGTTATACATCAGTCGGACAGAGACTATTTTTTTACATCAGTTATTATAGTAGTTTGGTTTCTTTTCTATCCTATTTTAATACAAGTTAGGATCCGACCGGATTTTAATAAATTGCTGCATACAAACAACCTCATCCATCAACTGTCTGCAAAGGACCCTTAAATCCTGAAAAACACTAGGCAAGAGTCCAACAGAGGAACTAAAAATGTACACTAGCTCAATATTTGTGCCCCCTCACCAGTAATTACCACCTACACATATTATATCATACAGTGAACATGCATATTCTATCAAAGGTTATGGCTAAAGTTAAACAAATTGGATGTAGTTGCTTCTTTTGTTAGAAATATTACAAATAATCCTCATGCAAAGTGATGGAGAGTTACCTTCAGATGGGTGAACTTCAGTTCTGGGCAGTTTAGGAGAAAGAGGGGCACTGTATGGTGGAGAATCCTGAGAAAAACGTTTCGTAATTCTGTTTTCTGATATTTCCTCTTTTGCTGGAAACAGAAAAATTCATTTCATGTTAGAACTAATAAAAATGGGGGGAGAGGAAAAGAAAGAGGAGATAGACACAGAAATGAGGTGAAAGTGTCTTATTCATTCATTCATTGGATCTTAAGATTGTTTTCCATATTGCCTTTTCTCATCTTGCAGCACAAGTCACAGAAAGTTGTAGTTTACCCCATGTTGAAGCATCACCCATAAGCCTTCAATAATGATTTATTAACCTGTATATTTAATTGTTTCCACACAAACTTTCAGGACTAAAATATATATTTGGTTTAGAAAGTTATCACCCAAATCACCTTGATCTGGCTTCACCCTGAGAAGAGCTCAGAAAACCTTCCTTGACTACAGATAATATGAAGGATGCTTAATGGAATATGTATTTTATTTTTTCACCTTATCTAAAGAAATTTTGAAATTACAGCCAGATCATAGCCAGTTTAAAACATTAGCTCTATAAGCAAGGGGGAGGGGTGCATAATTGGGAGTAAGGGAAGAAGGAACATATTAGTTTCCATATAACCATCAGAAGCTTCTCACTTTAGAATCTGAAACTGCACTAATGTCAAATATTTGTAGTTATGGCTTAATCCTTAAAACACTGGACTGGGCCTGTCACAGCACAATTTTAATATCCACTAGCCTGCTTTACTCTCACTGTCACAACTTCCATTTGTAAAACTGAAACAATGACAGTGACCTGCTTTATAAAGTGCTTTGAGAGCTATAGATGAGAAGTGCTATATACAAGCCAAATATAATATACCCTATAGATAGCAGTTACATTTCCGCTAAAAATGTTTAACTGGAAATCAAAAGCTGTAGTATTGGGAAACATCAATTTGGCCTCCTAGACTTACTCTATTTCTGTTTTCTATTTTGACTAGCAATGTATGGAAGTCCAAATGACTAATACTTGTAATTCCAATGACCTTCATTATGTGTGCATTCAAAGGACTCCATTTAATTCCCTGCAATTAAGACATATGGAGCTGTTCTGCCTTAGTGGGCTACTCATTCCATATACCAGGACTGGCCAACCTGTAGTACACATGCTGTAAGTGGCATATGCAGCATGCATGTGTGTGTGCATGCATGTGTGTGATGGGGAAGATTGTGGAGGGGACAGGCACCACATTGGCAGATAGGATAGAGAGCAAAAAGCAGAGCAACAGATTAGGAAGCAGAAAGTGGGGCAGCAGATCAGGCAGGATAAGGGGATTGGAGTGGTACTTGAGGAGGGTGAGGGATAATTTGTGGCACCCCTGCTGAAAAGATTGGTCCCTACTACCATAGAGTACTTTCAGCAGCACTATAAAAAACTGGTTGCTCTCCCAACTTATAATAAGACTATACACTACAGTCTAAATTCTCTGGTGCTGTTAGAGGAGGAAAAGAGGGCATTAGCTCTCTTGAGCAGGAGGGAGCACTTTTCACTGTAAAGGAAATTATCGCCTAGAGTTTGTTGTATAGGGAAGCACTGCCCTCTTTCCCCTCTTTGAGCAGGCAACAAGAAGTATTTTTATAAGTTTAATTTTCCTTGTGAGCATAAACCAAGCTAACAGAATGTGAAGTTTCAGCTTGCTGAACAAATTGATTTCTGCACATGTAAGTGCCCCATCCCTTTGTCGCAGGGCACTAAGGTGCCTGCTCCTTTAAGGGCAGAAACTGCATAGAGAGGGCCCTAGGAGCCAGGCAGAAACCCCACAGGTGCAGATTGCCGGGACAGCAGGCTAACGAGGGAATTAGCCAGCACCTGCACCCGATCAGCTGACTGAAGGAAGGCAGGGACCTGGGCCCATATAAGCCCCAGGGCTGGGGACTGAAGGCAGTTATGGCCCTGGCAGCTGCCAGGGGGAGTGGAATTCATGCAGAAAATCTCCACGAAGATACCTGGGTGCCAGTGCTGCTCCTGGTGAGACTAATGAGGTTTAGGAGCTCCTAAAGTATCTGGAGCTAGGAGGCACGCATTGTTGAGGGAGAAACTGACCCTCTTAAAGGGACAGTGTGACCTCCAGGGTTAGGGTTGCTGATATGTTATAGCCCAGCGGTACATATTAATGTTGTTGCTTTTAATCCGGTAAACCGGACTGAGGCTACTGGGGAGGAGGAGGCCGCATTGGGGTTCACTACCATGCAGAGTGCCAGCGCCAGTGAGGGCACAGCGACAGGGGCTGCGGAGAGCCCAGCACCAGTGAGGGCACGCACACAGGGGCAAGGGCCCAGTGATGACAGGAGGTCAAGCTACATCAAGGCCTCAGAGGGACGTCTGAATATCATCTGCGAGGCATGGGGCATAGTAAAGGGATGGTTTTGGAGCCACGCATCTAGCCCATAAGGCCTGGGGTGTCCTGTGAGGCACTTACTTAGAGAGGGACACAGCACGGGGTCTAAGAACCACACAGTTTAGTGGGGTCCACCCAGGACTGTGACTGCATAGCAACTTGAGGGCAGCCTCCCTATCTAGCATCTATTATCTTAACCAACAAGATGTGGCAAGCAAAAATAGAAGGCACCTGTAGGGCGAAGCTGATATGGTCACAGGGCCTTAGGGACAACACCCTGTGACACCCCTCCAAAGCAGTAACACACTAGAAGTCATTTCACTAAGAACCATAAAGCAATAGTTTTAATTGATTCCAGTTATAAGGACGTGAAAACCAAAATAATGCAAAATCATCATGTATCTCAAAACAGCTTGAACTTGGGGGAAAAAAACTGGTGTAATTTAGCATTACCTGGTTTACTCTTGTCATATTCTGTAGGACTGTGTGCACTCCCCATGTAAGGGCTGAAGGGCTGGCTACTAAAAAGATTATCACACTGCAGGCTGTGACAGAGTTTCTCCAAGAACCGAAGGACAAACGATGCACTGTTTACAGAAGGAAGATTGATGGCGTGTTTCTCCCCATCAAAGGAGGCTATGAGTAAGAAGAAGATATCAAATGCCACCCAAACACCATGAAGTATAGTAAAACACCCTCCATTAGCAACAAGAGAAGACAACCAGCTTTGATTTAAACTGTGCAAAGACAAAAAATAGGTAAACAATCATTCTACTATTTTATGAGTCTATTTAGCAAATAGTTTTCAGAGGGCCAGGCTCTAATCACTACTTATACCTCTTGTAAATGTAGATTAACTCTTCTGGTAGTGAATTATACCAAATTAACAGAAATGAGAATCAGTCTCACAAAGTAAAATTCTAATGTTTCATTTTTGTTATTTGCTTGCTAAACAAATATTTTCAGAGAATAAAACAGAAGATCTCATATGGTAGTAGTTTTAAACCAGGAGTTCTAGATAAACCTATTTGTTAATTTTAAAATGAAACACTCTGTGTTATTTAATGTCAGGGAATACAATCCTGCTGCCCTTGTGCAGATGAAACTCCCATTTACTTCAAAAGAAATTTAGCAAACTTAAGAATCACAAGAAAATCCACAATGGTACATTATGTTGTTTTAAATATCAACAGTCTATTACATACTGCTTAGACAACACAGCCTGTTGTGCTTATACATTATTTTATCTTTGCTTTCCTAAAAGAATCAACAACAATTATACACTTAACAATACCTTTTCTTCTTTTGGCAATTACTGAGATTAGAAATCATTTAGGGCAATTTATGCATGGCCACTAGAAGCATGCCTACAATGCTTCCAACTGTGGTAGGAAAAGTGGCAGCTAAGCAGGACGTATGTATTCCACATACAGTACATATTTTTTTCAGGTCATAGAGTAACAGTTGTTTGGTGAACATCCAGGGGTGCTGTAATAGCAGGTGTTTTTTCCAGCTACAGCATGTACAGAGCATGTGTGCTGTGTTTCACAACAGGGCTAGCTAGCATGGCTCACAAACAATGTAGACATATCCTAGGTGAACAATTTATATGAGATTACCTATGCATTCTAGAACCAGAAATATGTTTAATGTCAAATATCACAAATCTAAGAGGTAACAAAATTAAAGTTAAACATATGACTAAAAATATGGTCTTGAACTCTAGATGCTTTCTTGCTTTTCCAGTTAACCAGCTATTTTTAGGTGAGATAAAAAATTTACTTTTTAAAAGTCCCTACAAAAACTAAGGAGAACTGCAAGAGATTACTTCCCCTGCCTGAAGTACAGAGGTGCTTTCAAAGGAAAAAAAAGCACTAAATAAGCCATTATTCACAAAAATCTGAATTAGCAGACATACAATATGCTAATTTAAAGCACTGCATTACCAAAAAGGGACAATAGTCAACTTTAAAATACAGCTAATATTTCTAATCTGAAGCAAGTTTGTAAAGGTATTGTGTAACTGCAATAAGTATAATTAAATATAAATAATAAAATAGAAACTTGCTAATTTGCTTTAATGATGGGAAATTACTGGGTTTTGAGAATAATTATATTAGAGAGAAACTCTGGCTCTAGTTTTCTATGGCAAAGAAAATACTAGGCATACTTGAGTTAATTGGACTTTGAAATCCCAACAAAATCATAAGGATTCACTGTAACACCTTAGGGTTAGCCACAAAGGGCACGTACAGACGAGGGCCCATGTGCCCCTTGCAGAGTCTCAAAGCCATTTGAGATGCTGCAAGAGGCACGTGTGGGAACAAAAAAGTGTTCCTCATGATGCAAATTTTCAGTGAGGGGAAAAAATTAGACCCCTGGATATCCAGGGGTCAAAAAATACCCCAGGAAAAGAAAGCGGGGCAGAGCATGGTCCCTGGCCATGACCTGAGGCAATGGAGGCTCGGGTCCTCCACAGAGCCCCTCTGGCAGAGAGCCCCCCAGATCACTGCCCCACCCAGCGCCATCCCCTGGCCACTCCCCCAGCCCCCCAAATCACTGCCCCACCTGGTCCCATCCCCTGCCTGCTCCCCCAACCCCTCCAAATTGCTGCCCTACCCAGCCCCAGCCTGCTCCCCCAGCCCACCTGATGGCTGCCCCACCTGGCCCCAGCCTCCCAGCACTTAAAAAAATGAAAATAAAAAAGAAGCCCCATACTCACCAGCTGTAGCAGTGGCCATCAGGGCCTCATGGTAGAGCCCCCCCTGCGCTGCATAAGGGGCGGCAGGGATTGGCGCCATCCACCTGGCACCCATGCTGCTGCTGTCAGACAGCGTGTGTAGGCAGGGTGCTGCGTGGTGCCCCACGTTGCCTGACAGCTCGGGGCTGCTCGGGGGCGGGGTGGGCTCTGCCATGAGGACCCAAAGGCCCCGATGACCACTGCTACTGTCAGTGAATGTGGGGCCTTTTGTTTCCCCTGACAATTTTCTGACAGTTCAAAGCAGGCCATCACGCTGGGAACATCTTCCTGGTGATAGCTGCCCGGACAGCCGGACAGGGGCACACATGGCAGCAGTACTGCACAAAGGCCAACTCTGCAGCCACAGCCCACTGGTAGCTGGCCCAGAGGGGTAGATGCCTCTGCTGGTTGTGCAGTCCCCATCTGGGTCTGGCAGGTGCACAAATCTGGGGCCACATGCTGTCACAAGTGGCAGCAGGTCACAGACAGGCAGCAGCCCCCACTGCCAGACTGTTGCAGTGGGCAAAGGGTACAGGGAAGTCTCAGAGCTGCTGCAGCAGTTCAGCTGGCACAAGGGGGTAGTGTCCCCAGGTACCAATTTGCTGGGCCCCAGAAGCTGCTGAGAGCAAGTAGCCCTAAGCAACTTGCCAGGGCAGCTTCTTATACTGCTGGGGCCAGCACAGGTACTGGCCCTGGGCTCTAGCTCCCCCTGGCTGCAGAACCAGGAGGAGCCATGCAGGGTTATTTTGCCCCAAGTGGCACAACTTGCTCCAAGCCAAACTGCATGTCTGGAGATGTGCACTGAAGCAAAAATCCTCAGCTAAAATTTGCACCAGTTCTATGTGAGCTGCTGCAAGCGCACGATCGCATGTGTGGACACGCCTATGAAGTCCTCTACTTCCTGTTTTAGGATATCCCAAGGAGCTGGCTTCTACTTGGTACCCAATCAGTTACAGAAATCTACTGACAGACATATTACAAAAATCAATCACCCCAACAAAAATTAAAAGCCTCTCAGGATAGTTTTGTGGTCTATTCATATGTTCTCTTATTGAATGAATTCACTATTTTTCTTGCCCCGGCTTCCCACTTTAAATACAAATAATACTTTTTTACCTCACAACATTTTCTGAAGACAAATCTAGAAAACATGAGTGAGACACTCAGATACCATGTAAAATCCCACCATTAAGGAATCTATAAATAATCTGGGCAAAGGAAACCTTCTCTGTACCCTGCAATGTGTCACAGCAATCATGGGATGAGAGGACTGTGGAATCAGTGGCAGCCACCGTGCCTCTCATAAAATACTATCATTTAAAAATATTCATGAACTTTCCTGTTCTCATTGAGACAATTTTCTGCTGGTTTCCATAAATCCCTAGCTATTGTCATAGAATCTGGATATTGGAGAAACTTGCCAACACTTTGGATGAAGTTTTATCAATGAACAAGAAATTAATTGAAAAACATGATTTTAGTCATACCCAAACTATCTGCAAATATAGGTTGAATTTGCCAAATAGTTTCAGATGGAAAAAATAAAAACAGGCTAGATCACAAAACTGTGTCAGTGGCATCAGAACTGTGTCCTGTTAACCCATGGCTCAGGTACAGACATTATACTTTTACCAGTATAAGTGATCAGAAACCAGTCTATACCCATAACAAAACAGATGTTCAGCATGCAAAACTGGTCTATGCCCATATCAGAACAAAAGGTTGGGGCACATAAACTGGTTTAAGAATGGCAGAACTCAGTCTAAGATTTGCACCCCTAATCGAAGGGCAAATGTGTGTTCTGTTCGCCACCAATCTAAACTACACTGCTTACAGAAAACTGCCTAAGATCGATGTTGCCTTAGGGTTTTTTGAATGTCTGTACCCAGCCATTACTTCATGGGTTAAAGCACTTACCTAGAAGGTAGGAGACTGACTCATCTCCCACTGAGCTGTGATAGCCCTTATTCTGGTTTAGTGCTTTAACCTGAGTTATTGGGTAAAAGAGGGATAACAGAAACCTTTCACCATTGACAGCTCTATTAATCTAAACCTTGATTTCCTTTTCTTTCTTACACATGCCTAAAATTAAACATTTATTTTCAGGATGACTGGAACATCTAGCAATGAGCAAACACAGTTTTCTATGGTGTTTCTTTTTTCTGGCAAGAGAAACAAAGGGTTGTGTGTTTTGTTTTGTTTAAATTTAGTTTAATCTGAGTGATTTTTTTCTCCCCTTTGTCTTTGTGGTTTGGCAGAGGAACCAAAAAAATCCATTATTTGCACAGTTCTAACAAGGATATTCTGCCCATCTCCCCGCCAGCACAAAATTGTTTTCTACCAGAGACTGTAGTCTTGTGTCACAAAAATTCACAATTCTGAATACAGTCTTTTTTATCTGTACTGTGATAAAGTTAATGAAACACATTATTTTTACTCATCAGTCCAAAAAAAAAAATCTTACTCTGCTCAGCCCAAATTCTGCAAAGCTGTCCAACCTGTTTTTATATTGACCAGTATTTTGTTCATTCTAGTTAACCAAGCCAGTACCAAAATACTGGAGCTTGCCTCATTTGTCCTGGGAGAACTTTCCTTTACCAAGAAGTTTGTCTTAATAGTCAGACTACAAATGCCCCTTTCGTGATTTCATTTTACTACACAAGTTCTGCTTTTTAGTGTTTCCATTTGGAGATGGTCATAAGCATTTTGGCACAACTTTCTTTTTTATTCAGAATTTGCCTATCAAAGTGTCTATGCTTCACAAACAACAATGTTGAAGAAAAGCCCCTGAAAATTTGGTAGGGTTTAAAATATGACATCTTACTCACCTGACCCCTCAGTATCCCACATAGTTAGCTGGAAACCAACTTCCCAAACTTTCAGACTTGTGGGCTCCTGATTAGCCAGGACTTTCAGGAGTCCCAGATCACCAGCAGTACAGGTTTGCAGATTCAAGCCTATCCAATCTAAAATACTGCCACAACACTAGGGAGAGCCGGATGGAAACACTAATGATTCTACCCAGTAGAGTTGGATGGAAACTAATGATAGATACGCTTTCAAACCACACATCTGTGTTTTTGAGTTTTGTTCCAAGTCTGAAAAAAACCAAACTGAAAATCTTTTAATCCTCTGTAAAACAAAATTACTGTTCTCCGCCCAGCATTATTCATACCCATTAATCCTACATACCAATTGGGGCATGATTTAGCCCTTATAATAATAATAAAAATATAAAATAACGCACATTGCAAAATATATTTTGTTCATGTAATCTGACAGTTGCTTCCTTTATTTATGACACTAAGCTAGTAATTTCTACTTATAATTTGTACAAATAAAGACGTCATAGTTTCAGAACCTCACTTGCAGACAGCTATTCATATTTTTACTGAGAAGTAACAAGAGCCTCCATTTTCGTGAGCATACTTGCGTTCAAGCTGAGCACAAAGATTAGCAAAGTTCTGCTACATGTGGGTAAGGTTATTTTAATACGGTAGGGCAGAACAATCTTTTATGAGGGTTTAATTAAACTGGTATCCCACTAATCATCTTTCACATCTGGTGTTAATGTAGAAAAATTAAAGTAAGGCAAACCGTTTTTACTGCCCGTGATGGAATTATGAATTGATATGTTAACTACTGTACAGAAAATTGCTTTACCCATAAGAAAAAAAAACTCTGTCAAGCAGCAGCTATTGAGCTTGAGCTATAGGAATAATTTATCTGCAGAGCTGCCATCAGTGTGTAGCGGAAATAAACCTATTCCATAAAACAGGACATAGGTGTTTGAATACTGACCATAAGACATTGTTAGAATATGTGTTTAGAAAATAAAAGTGGCACTGGTAGCTTTGCTTAACACATATGGAACCAGTTATCTGGAACCTAAACAGATTAGTTTGAAACTTTTCACCCACTTGGTTAAAGCATCAAGAACACAAACAGTGTGTATGGATAAGATTGTGAGTCACTTGAATTAATAATGCTGAAATTTAACTTGCACTGAACTTCCTTGACAAATGTTTGGCTATGGCTGTTTAATGAGGTGCATTAAACTCATTTAATTTATACCATACCATATACCATACAGCACAGAATTTAACTGTGCTGTATGGTATATGTAATTTAACATTCTTAATGATAAATTCAAATTAAGAAAACTAGTTGAATCGTTCTGAACCCTGCATTAAGATGCAAATTAAGTGCTGACTTCAGATTCTCGGGCATTAAAGGCAGCCACAATTGAGTAGTCTTAGCTGTGCTTAAAGATTTAGAAAAACAATATAAAAATGTTAGCTGCATACCGTTTATCATCTCCCCTCCATGATGCCCTGACTTCAGGAATCCAAAGACTGTTTTGGATTGACAGGCACAGTCTACACAGGCCTGCACAGCCTGCTGAAGTACCACATTTACAGGACCTGGTCCAAAGTGATCTGGAAGTTGCTGAACTTTCTTCTTATCCAGGTGAGGTCCAGCGTTTCCATGCTTGTTAACATACACGCAAACTGAAAAATTACAAGCCATATTTTACCATGGAATCTGCCTGCTTCAGGCACAGTCAATATACTCAAGAACTAAATATTTTCACAAGTTTGGCTTTTACTGAAAAGCATATTGTTCAGTTTAACTGATACAATAAATACCTAACCTTTCCCTAACATCAAGATTTGTCAATAGTTAACAATGGAAGTTGTAATGCAGTAATGTATCAGCCAAGAGGTCCTGACAGACTGCAAGGAGACCAGGATGTTGACCAGCTATCAAAACTGTCAACTGCACAAGCCTTCCTTACCCCACTTGAACATTCACATTCAATTAATATGCTTTCTTCTGCAGTTATCGCCAAGGAGCCCTTTTGATCCTCTTCTGCATAACTTAGTCTAACTCTATGGTCAATGTTCTTTGCCAGCCCCTAGAATTTGTTGAACTGTGTGCACAGTGACGCCTGACAAAGCATTACTGCAATGCTTCACTGTGTGAAAAATACCCCCAGTGTGTGTTGTACATAAAGTATTCACTTCCACAGGAAGCACCATGCAGCTTGTCCCTTCAATGCTTTTACATTTAAAATAGCAAATATAGCTTCCTATAAGACTAAGTGAATGGTGGTGCCAAACCCCAGGACAATCACCACCCAAACTAGCTGCCAGCCACATAAGTCCAAATTCTTTTCTTTTCCAACCTGCCCTGTGTTTAAAACCCTCCTACCTCACCACTACAAAATATTCCCAGCCTGTATTTGTATTTGCCACTGAACCTTACCCAGAGGAAAACTCCATAACACTAAAGCCAACTGATAGATGCTCTGAACTACAGAAGCACATGGTAGAAAAGGAAGACCTAAACTAAACTGCATTACTCTGTAAATAACATAGGGAACTTTAGAGTTAAAACCTACCAATACAGCAGTCAAATACATGTTTATGAAGACATATTCTGCAAAATGAACAAGCACAACAGAAGCCACAACAAAAAGCAACTGTTCACTCAAGGGAGATAGAGCTATCACAGCCATTAGGCTACACAGCCATTAGGCTACGTAGGTTAAGCAACAAGACAAAAAAAGTGGTGGAATGCTGCTGATGCTGAAGTGAATAGGAGTTTTGCCACTGACTACAAGGGGACCAGGATTTTTCTTTTTTGTATTTATCATGACTTAATAACACACTGTTCTATTGTTCAGAGCAGGCATAAGAGTTAAGATGAAAGAAATCTGCCTTGTTGAACTGTGGCGTTTTTTTGGGTTTAAATGAAATTTGGATTTTTAAAGCGATTGAAATATGTAAAAACAATTTTAATGATCCCAAATTCTACATTCCTATCTATTCGCTTTTTGACATCAGAAGTTGCAGGAAGCACACACATGGTGGTGAAGAGAAATATAGCAATCTGTAAAATATTTCCTTTTTAAAAAAAATCCTTTCACTTGGGCTGAAGAATGTCTGTAAATATGGCAATCATTTGACTGTTACATGCTTACCTTTGCCTTGATGCTAACTTGGAATTTCTGCAAAAGATGTTTCAAGCACAGACTAATTCTACTGTGCATTAGTGTGCCAGGCAAAACCCATGCTAATGTGCTAATGCACAGAATTAGTCTACTGCGCAATAGCATCACCTAAAATGTGTGCGCTGGCACTACTACGCAGTAGCACCAGTTACTGCACATTTAGTTAGTAGTTACCTGGCAATAACAGGTACTAACTAAATGTGCAGTAACCACTGCACATTAATGCATGTGTAGATGTGCCCACTGTGAAGCAGGAGTTAAGGAAACGGAAAGGCGAAAAAGGGAACAGTTTCTTTTGTAAGTGCAACTTAAAATGGTAGTAGTTTACCTACCCCTATTTTGGATACTTAGTAGATGCTCAGAATTTGACCAACAATATACGCATCTGAGGCCTATTTAGCTAACAAGATTTTTCTTTTCCATCACCCATTTGATAATATGGTTCAAGGTCTTCTTTTTTTTTTTTAATAAGGTCTACTTCTCCTGCTTAGCTTAACTTAGCCCACTTCTCCTACATGGCTTCTTTCAATAAAAATGTATGCAGAAAACCACACCTTTATGATCTATTTCTGTGTTCTCTGGAGTGTAATGGGGTATTAGGTAGTCTTTTGAGGACAGCTATTTCCAGTAAAGTTTGCTCATGACTGAGATGGAAATAAGGACATGCTTTTGTTACGCCTTTTTTTCTTCTCATCACAGCAGACGCTAGGCTATTGCAGACAACTGAAAGCAATGGACTTTCTGATTCACACACCAAGCATTATGCTATTTAGGCATCAAATCGCTGATGTCTTGGTGCTGTCTTCTTACAATGCATGCATTAAATACCAGTCTTACCTAAGTAAATCTGGAGACCTGGAATTTAAATATATGTTAGCAGGATAGTGGTTTACAGTAATGTTTACAATTATGAATAATTGTGGCATAAAATGATGCGATTATTTCTCTTTAAAGGGCAAGGTGATTTCATACTCAGCATTTCCATTTTACCTGTGGATATAACTGCTGCTGTTGTACCAGCTATGCCAATGCCATCTTTAAGTACCTGTGTACCGCCACTGTCCCCATCAGGAGAAGTAAGTGGAGATGAAGGTGTAGGAGGAGATTGAACTGGCGAGGTTTTTTTCTGTTTAAACAAAAGCCCCAACAAACAAACAAACAAAAATTCAGTAAAAGATGTTTTCTTAAAGAACATTCAATCAGAAGAAAACTGGATATTATCACACACTACTACAGTGAAGAGAATATGCCTTTGAAGTGCCACCTACTGCAATGAAGCTCATTCCATCCAAAATGAAGGCCCTGTACTGTATAAATTAACTCATCTGTATACCTTTGATAACTATTTGACTAAATCAGCAAGGCAGCTAGTGAGGGAACCTCTTATCTAACAAAGGAGGGACCAACTGAGAATAGGAAATAAAGGTACTGAGAAGCAGGGAGCTCCAACACATGAACTCCTCATCCTTTTAACCCTTACAAATCAAGCCAATGATTTTTATTTACTTCCCTTGCGATACACATTTTAAGCCAGTGCTGCTCTGCCTTTTTATCCATTCTGGTCTGTCTATGGGCCAGATCCAGCCAGTGATCCTGATGTGGTGCCTGAGGCAGGCACGGCAGAAACCCATCTGACTATGAGAGAGGGGTGGGGGCACCAGCCCCAATCCAGCTGTGGAGGGGGAGAAGGGGTGGCCCAACCCCAGGTCAGCCATGCACAGGGGGAGGGCATGGCCTGGACCCAATTCAGCCATGTGGGTACTGGAGAGTATTGCCTGGCTCTGATTTGGCTTTGCAGGGGGGAGGGGCATGGGAATTTGGCAGCACGGAACAGTGGCAATATTAATGGCTACTGCTCCCCCACCACCAAATTTCCCAATTCAGGGGGAGCCCTATGGGCCAAGTTCTGTCTCCATGGGCCATATTAGGCCTGCAGGCTGAGCTGTTTTAAGCTAATCAGGTCTGTAAATAAGCTGCTTGAATTGTTGAGCAGTTCCTGTATGCAACCTGGGTAAGCGGCAAAAAGGTTTATCAGAGTACTAGATAGGCCCTGATATTAAACTCCAGGCAAATCATTTCTGAAAATGTATAGCCTCTACCAAGATTTGTTTCAGTATCATAACCACTTAATTCATCCAGCTGTTGTGGGTCTAGTAAAACCCAGAACGGCATAAGGCATCTAAAATAGCAAAACAGTAAATCCAATACAAACATGTTACTAATGACCCCGTTTCCCTTTTATGAGAAAAACACACATAAAATACATCTTATCTTCTGCTCTCAGCTCTGTTTAAAACTTCCTTTCAACCAGCAACTGTCTTTGATACCACCATATCATCGTTCATATATAGGATTTAAGGCCAGGTACAGACGTTATATTTTTACCAGTGTAAGCGATCAGAAACTGGTCTATACCTATAACAGAACAGAGTTTGGCACACAACATTGGTTTATACCCATAACTAAAGTCCGGCACACAGACTGGTTTAAAAATGGCGGAACCCAGTCTCTGATTTGCTCCTCCCCACCAAATGGAAAGCATGTGTTCTGTTTGCTACCAAACTAAACTACATTGCTTACAGAAAACTATGCAACTCAGATCAATTCCACCTCACGCTTTTTGAATGTCTGTACCTACCCTAAGAGGCAGTGTTAGGCAAGCAGTTTGGAAGAGGTAGGGGATGGTGAGGGGAGATAGCTGGGGGCTCTGAGCCTGCAAAGGTCAGAGAAGGCATACATCTTCAGAGGTACTGAGTGGAGGGTGAAGAACAAGCTCATTGTCAGTGGCTACTTATTTCATAAATGTAGACTGTCTTCCCCTATGATTGTGCTTCCTGAAGGCAAGCTCTGTAGTAGTGCAGAACTTGTACAATAAAATACTAAACTAAAATGTTCAAAAACAAAAAAAGTTTCAAATACTCAAATGTCATGAGATTGTTTAAAATATGTTAAACTATAATTATTTGACTTTTGATTATTAGTGTTTAGGGTGCATTCAGATTATAGGAAAGTAAGGCTGGAAGGGACCTCATAAAGTCATGTAGTCCAGCCCTCTGTTCGAGGCAGGATCACCCCTAACTAAATCAGCCTAGTTAAGTGTTTGATTAACCATCTTTTTAAAATTACCAGGGATGGAGATTCTACAGCCTTTCTATGTAGCTTATTCCAATGCTTGGCCAATCTCATAATCAGAAAGTTCTTCCTTGTCTCCAAACTGAATTCCCTCTGCTGCAGTTTGAGGTCATTATTCCTAACCTGTCCCCTACAGCCAAAGAGAAAAGTCTATCTCTATCCTCAGATAATAATTCTGTTATAATTTTGTTAAACCAGGAAAATATTTATTTTTAATCGGATAGGCTATTAATTATGAGCACATCTGAAAATAAAGGGAATTTTAGAGCAGTTTTAACCCATTTCCATTTCTCTCCATCAGACCAGATGCTTTACTTTCAAAAATGGCCAGTCCCATGCTATTTCGCACAAATTAAAGAATATTGGGATTTATACCAATGTACAGATTACCTCATGGAGGCTTCCATACTGCTGCGAAACAACCAAAAGCTGACTGACAATGTGGTGAGGTTTCTCCTCTTTCCTACCTTCTACATTAGATGCAGGCTGCAGCCAAGGCTAGGGATTATGACTGGGGTGTGCCAGTGGTTCCTTCTAGGACTTAAAACCAGAGTTTCCTGGGTAGAGGGTCTTGCCCCTCTGTTCAGGGTCTGACAGATTGCCAGATTTGGGGTCAAGAAGGATTTTTACCCCATGGTCAGACTGCAATGGAACGTGGAGGTTTTAGCCTTCCTCTGTAATACGGAGTGTGGACCTCTGCTTAAACTCTCTTGAGTGTGTATTAACTACCTTTAACAGAAGCAGGACATTGGCTTCCATGCTCCCCATTTCATCAGTGGCAGTTAGGGAGTTATGTGTTGTGTTGTGTTAGTATAGGTGGTAATTTTACTAAAAGTTTAGATTATGGACCTGTATAGGGTGGTTTGGATAGGGATGGTCCTGCCTCTGGCAGGCGGATGGACTAGATGACCTATGAAGGTCCCTTCCAGCTCTGCTTCTCTACAATTCTATAATTAAACTGAATGACATTAAAAGGAAACCTAAAATTGTGGTTTGCGACCAGGGCAAATGGAGCAGGCTGATCAACTCTCACAATCTTCAGTGAAATTTAGGAACATATTTCCCACAAATGCCTTAAAAAATTACAACTAAATGACTTTTAACATTATTTTTCACATGGAGATATTGATATCATAAATTAAACTGAGATTATCTGTGCAACTGTGGAAAGAACAGGAAAATAGAGAAAGGGCCCCTATGACAATCTCTTTCAAACTGTGGACCAATAAAGGTAGATTATGGTAAAAAAATGCATTAAATACCTACTCAGCTAGTTAAAACTTTGAGTCGGACAGAATCTAGTTTTATGATTTGTGAATTAATAAACAACTTAACATATAAAGAGTGAATTTTGCTTGCTTAAATAAGTCTCTTGAAGGTAATCTCTAATATCTGTATGAAGTAGTAATTCAAAATGCAGATGTACACATTTAATTTTACAGCAGCTGAGAAGAAATTAACAATACTAGAATGAAATATTAACATTTTTCAAGAATTGTGGCCTGATTTTTGGCTCAGTAATGGTTCATTGTTAGTTTCCTCTTACTAAAACAGGCAACCAATTACTTGCTAAGGGCAGAAAGGAAAAGAGAAGTCAGAAAGCAGTGGAATGGACAGAAAGGAGCATAACAAATCAAAACACTTAATGGAAGGATTAAGTAAAAGAAGGGGCTTCCTTTTTCAAATCTTGTATTTGGTATGAACAAAGCTAAATAGATTAAAATAACCCTTTGTCTTTATTGACATGGTATAAAATTTTGTTTATATATAAAAAAGAAAAGAATAAAAGGGAAAAAACAGTGTTTTCCTGTCACAAGACTGAAACTGGCAAACACCATGTAGTGCAGCTGAAGAAGAATGGTAAGGAGTCAAAATACATAAAAGACAGATTTAAATTTTGCCATATTTAAGTCTCTGGTATAGTGCAGGCTTCATGATGCCTGCTATGTAATCTCACATGTCCTTTGAGCATGAAGCCCCCCTGAAATCAATAGGATGGTTCACTCATTTTTTCATTGAAAAGGGTAATAACTGTGATACTCAAACAAAAATGAGCATGTATGTAACTTTTCTTGAATTATATAACATTCTTCTGCTTCTCAAGTGTAGTAAAACAAAAAAACGTTAATAAAACAACTAAACATCACCATATAAAAGAGAACACTACTTCAAATAGTTCATCAGGACAGAACAGTTAACTAGAAGTGGTCAGTTTACAACATCAACATGGGCTTATATTTTACTGTTTGGTGAAGAGGGTAAATTTGAAACCACTTGTACAGCAGCAAACACTGTATTCATGATTGGATACAGGAATTTGAAAAGGGGAGTGTGGGAGCAGTGACCAGCACTTGCAGGGTCGCTGCACGCTCTCTTCCAACCTCCCCCCAGTAACTGGGATGGGAAGACATTACTGCGAGACCAGAAGCCAGTGACTTTTTGGCTAAGTACAAACAGTCTAAAAGCCCAAGGCAGAATTGTTTCAGTGTCTGCAGGTTAGTCTAAGCTTGTGTAGACTAAACCAATAAGCAAGTGAACAGACAGTCACTTTGGATTCTGGAAATGCAGCCACATGCCTGTAGTGGCCCAGGCCAGAAGCCGAGGAACGCTAAAGCACACCTCCCCACTCAGCTGAAGCAGACAACTTGGGCCAAGGCTAACCCACCCATTCTGCACGGGAGGGATGTGCAGGGAAGGTGCAAAGCATCCTGGGATGCAGGAGGGCTATAAGTTAACTTGAACCTGGAGAGGATCTTGAACAGAAGTTCAATAAATTGGTTTAACCTAAATCAGTTTTGTCTAATACTATAACCATCCAGGTTTATCTTAAACCAGTTTTGGCCATTTTGAAAGCAGAACTGAACTTCTGTTGTGTTACAAATTTGAACCTGTTTCAAATCACTTATACCAATTTATGTGCAACTTCTGTCCCTAGCCTTTAGGTCCCCAAAGCAGGAAAAAATCCTGCTTCCCCACACATACCTGACATGCCCTCTCCCATTTACTCCCTTCCCCACCTGCCAGTGCCATTGTCCCTGGCTGACCTGGGGGCAGGGAGACCTCCAAAGCAATCCTGCCCTGCTGCAGCTAGGCTGCACAGGGAGACAGGCTCAGCCAGAGGTACTGGCAGCAAGTGGGTTCTTCCTCCTTGAACCTGCTCCCAAGCTGATGGGGAACACTAGGGTGGGGGGATCAGATAGGGAGAGAGAACTCATGTACACATATAACATAGAATATCTTTGTAGCTGGTTTTTATGGTGCCTGAAAATTGAATGTATGGCTTGCCCCATCTCCATACTGACATATCTATTAGCATCAGGGTGGGGCCGACCTGGGCCCAGTTGGATACCACAGGCTGCTCCCGGTCCCTGTGCCCCATGCCCTTGCACAGCCCAGCATCTGTTACTAGGCTGGGGATGCCTAGGGGGCTGCAAGTGCCAGGTGGGGAGAGTGAATTAGCTCCCTCCATTTGGCTTGTTCAAAGCTGTGTGCCCAGCAGTCCCATGCAGGGCTGTACTTTGTGCAGCTTTTGACTTGTCAGTGCATGTGAAACACAGGATCTGGGTGCCATATGTGCTGACAAGTTGAAAAAGCATGATTGGGATCTGATCCCTGATTTCCTCAAACTACACATCCTGCACATGTGGCATGGCAGGCTATCCGATTATTCTGATCTGGGATAAGTTCCCATTGTGTCATTAAATTAACTTGTACTGGGGGCCCAAGACTCACTCTTGTGCAGCAGCCATGTTTTTTTAAAAGTAAAGTACTAGTTCATTTTGTGAAGAGTCTAACGCTGTCAGAGTAGGCACGCACGAGGTGTTTTCTGAAAATACCTACATCAGGCACCTCAGGGGACCTAGACATTTGTTTGCCAAGTTCCTGGATCACAATCAGGCTTAGATGGAGGAAGAGACACTTACAAAAGCTTAGGAAGGCAGCTTTGCACTAGGGGCAGCTATGATATCTAGGGCAGTAGTGGCTGCCTTTGCGCCCCCCACAAAGGTGGGACTACGAGCTGCTGCTGTGGTTGTCCCCAGCCTTCCCTCTAAGCTGAGTGGCATGTGCAGCTGTGCAGGCACACCTGGCAGTGCGACATGAGCGTGCCTGCACAGCTGCGCATGCCTCACAGCTTAGAGGAAACACTGGTTGTCCCCCTCAGTTACACTGCTTGATGGCAAGTTGTTCAGATCAAGACAGTTCTAAGCATGCCACAGAAGCAGAATTCCACGCATTTATGCATATTTAGATTGAAACAGGAAAAGGCTTATTGAGTTTAGATGCCACTACCCCATCTAAATCGGTTTTGGACTTGGGTGGAATTCAGGTGTTTACGTCTTTTTTTTTTTAAATGTATTTACATTCCTTATTTGATTTCACCTGCATTAAAAACGAAGGGTTAAGATAAGTTAAATAGTACAAACTTAAAATGTATTTCAGTAAATGTATTTATTTCAATAAGAAAACAACTAAATTTAAGTAAGCTAGATCTTCCCTGAACTTGGAAATTTACTGAAATAGGGTTTTTTTCCCCATTTATCTTAATCCACTGGATTTATTATTATGAATAATTCTTCTGAAAAAAAGCTTATTCCAAAACAAGTGGCCTCACAGAGGTTTATACTGAAAATAAAAAACCCCAGCATTCCATTCTAGTTATTTCAGGAAATTTCCAAATACAGAGAAACTCTAAGTGTCTGAAGGGAAAATAGCACCAGGCTTTACATAAAATTACATGTGTTTGTTCAGACAAACAAACAAACAAACCAAAAATAAAACATTGTAAAGAACTGCAATACCCATTGAAGTGGTAAATGGAACTAACCTTTCTTCCAGGTTTCAAAGTTTTTTTTCTGGTTTTGAGATTTTCAGTATGAGTGGCATTTTTTGTCAAGGGACCATTTTTCGGAGACTTGCCCTTCATAGGAACTACAGATTGCCCGGCAGGTTTAGCCCGACTTTGTTTTCTGCCCCGCTGAGCTGATGCTGAAGCAGATTTCTGTGGCGACTGCATTGCACGCCGGGTCACTTTGGAAGGGGAAGACTGGGTTTTGGCACTAGTCTTCGTAGTGGAAACTGAGGAAATACAAAGCAAAGGAGGGGAAAAAACCCGCTCAAAATTAATTCCAGAATCTGAAGACATTTTATATCATTATGCTGGGGTTAATTTGTGCTAGAAAAGCAGGTATTTTAAGAACTATTTAAAAAAATTGCTGCATATGCATTTTTAAAATTACATTTAAAAATATCAAACAGTAACAGGCATTTAGTGTCACTACTTAATTTATCTAAATCTGAAAGTAACAGAATCTGTTCCATCCAAAATGTATTCAAGAGCAATTATTCTACAAGGAATTATTTTCAGATAAAATTCAAAGACTATTTGAATCCACTCACCCCACAGATGTTTCTTATAGTTCTTGCTATTACTACTAATAAACTTACATTTTCATTATGCTTTTTCATCCAAAAGAATCTCAAAGGGTCTTAGTGTAAGAAATCCATCCACCCACCTCTAAAGGCAGTTGCTGCCAAAGTAATACAATGCAACTATTTAACAGTGTATAATGTTAGAAAAGAATTTTGAGCAGAAGGTAAAGAAAAACATCCAAGTACAAAGAACTAATTTTTTATAAGCAAGATACAAAATAATTAGAATTTGTCACACATACTAGGATAAAAACCAAAGTCCTTGTGGAAAATGCAAAAAATGACATATTAAACGATCATTTCTTCAGCTTTAAAATTCCTTGTAAGAAGGAATTGACAGCATCATGGCTCACCATTTTCATCTTAATCCTGCTTGGAAAAAAAGAAAAGTAAAGAACAACAGCTATGAAATAGTTTCTTGGTGTATCCAAATGTCCTTTGCAGGTTCTTTCATCCAAATAAAATATTGCCTAACCCTATGTAATTCATCAGGTATGACCATCTCACAGCTTAAAAGCAACAGGCTGAAAGCCAAAAATCAAAGTTCTGTTAAGTAAAGGCTTCCAAGTTAGCAATATATTTTCACCCATTTGATTTTTCTCTAAAGCACTAAAGATGAATTTATTATAACAATTTATTTGGCAACAGACTGACAATAAAGGACAACATAAGATAACAAATGGATGGGAGTTGTTTTACATAGATAGCACTGATGAGAATGTATATCTTGTTACTCCCCAGCACTACCTGTGGCCAAGTCAAAAAGCAATACCTGGTTCCAAAAAAACCTGTACCTATTTTTCTTTAGCAAGATGAATGATAAAGAGAGACATAGAAGCCTTCTGAGGAAGAGGTAAGCCAGTAGAGGCATTAGTCAACCCTTGTACCTCAAGGGGAAAAAAGAAAGTTCCCTTTAAAAAAAAAAAATC